GTTTTGAAACAAATCCTTTTGGAAAAGCAGCAATAGCCAGAATTACCTGGTTTTTAATGATCTAGTTTAATGTTTTTCGACTATTTTCAGTCACTTCTCTGCTGGAAAACCCATTTTATGATAGTAGCTGTGTTTTGAACATGGTAAACTATCTTAAGCCCCGTTCACACCAAGAACGATAACTATAAAGATAACTATAAAGATAACGATATAAGCGTCCACACCAGCGAACGATATCGTCTGTTTATTCTAAGCGCACGCTCGTCTGCCGCTTTAAATTCTCGAGCTCGTTACAGCAGGATGGATTCTGATTGGCTGTCAATTTTTTATCGTTCATCAGCTGGAAAAAAATAGTTTTGAAAGGGATTCCAACGATATCGTTTCTCTTTGTCTTTATTGTTATTAGTTGTGGTGTGGACTCTGCTATTCTTTAATATTGAGAATGATTTTTAGATCTATATCTTTATCGTTATCTTTATAGTTATCGTCCTTGTTGTGAACGGGCCTTTAGATTAGCAAGAAACCAGCTAACAGCTGTTCATACCAGCTTATGGTGGTCAGGGTAGTTTTTGAAACATTGGTTTGTTGACTATCTTGAATTAGCTAATGAGAATCTTGAACCAGTTAATGACATACTTGGACTAACTAATAACCTGCTTAGACTGGATATAAGCAAGTTATCATGTTACAAAACACAACTACAAGCTTAAGGCCAATCGTACAGCTAAACACTAGCTTAACCAGGCTAAACCACCTAAAACCACGATTGGTTGTACCATATTCAGTCGTAAGCTCTTAAAAACCAAAATAAGTGTTATGGTGAGCATAAGGGTGAGTCCTCAATGAAAACACATAATCTAATAGAGCTGAAATTGAAGACACGGCCAGTCTAAGACCACAGAGGAAAGGAAAACTAAGCAGGTCACAACATTGAGATCGAGGCTGGAGCATTTCATGACGATTGAGTGAGTGAGTGAGTGAGTGAGTCAGCAGTGGCCTCACTTTTCCAATCTGTTAACCATTTTATGTGAGTTAAAGTTCAACAGTGGCGTCAGTAATGGATAAAATGTGAGAGAGAAAAAGAGAGAAACTAAGAACAACCCAAAATACCAAAGGACTTTGACCACGGACGGCAGTCGCCTAAAATGAAAACAAAAACAAACTGTTTCCACAGTAACCTCACACATCCATTCGCTTGGAGTCTGGCTGGCACCAAGTTATAAGTCATGCTAACATTTCCTTGGTTAACTCCACCATCCTACGAAACATTCATCCATTCATACACTGCACTGTGCAGTGGGAGGTGAACCACAACTCCAGCTAAGCATTTTTTAAAGCCATCTTGTTCGCTCAATTTGAAATGTTATATAGCCGTCCAAATGGACCTGAAAATTCCAAGCCAAAAATGCATGTTTTGGACTGAACTCAGTGTGAAAGCTCAGCCATCTTGTGAACACGTTTTCCTCAATGTATTTCTTTGACCCCACTGTTTATTATGGCCAAGTGGCAGAATATTTTTAGACGGCTAATATATTAGTTTCATGCAATCATTTGTGGGGATTTTTGCCTCATGGTTGAAACATGGTTGAATGTAATGTTCAAACAATTAACTAAGAATTATTTTGTCCAAAAGGGGGCAGTGTTGACTTATTTGAAGAGGTTGTGCTCACAGGAAAATATGCTATGCCCAGAATAGCATGCTAATATGCTAATTTCACTATTTCTGCAGTGTATAGCATATATACTGTGCACAGAATGCAAATGATCTGTATACTACATCAAAACTTGCAGTATACAACAGAGAACACAGCAAGGAATCCCATAATGCACTGCACTTAACTTGACTTTCCATTTCCTGTGTGACAAATGAACTGTATTATCAGCTGTGATGTCTTGCTTGCTTCACTCATGATTTTATCAGACTGTTAAATGTTAAGACATTTTATACAAAACGGATTAAAAAAAAACTAAACAACTCGTTTATTTCCAAGAGAAGTGTTTGCAACTCACTACAAGTAATATAGTGTACTACTGTTTGAAACATTTATTGTTGATTAATGTGTTCAGCATGTGCTAGTATTATTTAGTACATAGAAAGCTAATACTACTACATGTTTTGAATGTTAGCACTGTCATGCTGTTTGCATGTTCTGTCTCATATTTGTAAAACAGAAGGCAGTATTTAGTGTATACTGAGCAGTATGCTAGTATTTTGTTTCAATAGTCTTTGTACCAACAAAAGGAGAGTGTTACCATTAGCATAGAGAAAATGGACTAATCTGCTTGCTAATCTCCCTGTTGAAAAAACCAGCATATGCTGGTTAGGTATGCTTTGACGCTGGGATGCTGGTGTAAGCTGGTCCTTTGCTGGTTTGTGCTGGTCCTTTGCTGGTTTATGCTGGTCATGTGCTGGCAAAGGACCAGCATAAACTAGCAAAGGACCAGCTTAAACCAGCATCCCAGCGTCAAAACATGCCTAACCAGCATATGCTGGTTTTTTCAACAGGGCTGTTTTTGTAGTTTGTGGAATTTCTGTATTAGAAAATACATAGCAAGTTTTTATAATGTCGAACTGAGTTACTTTGTCTGAAAGATAAAGATTAGTGGTCACCTAAATGCCATGTGGCAAAAACGTAGCATTATCTAAATTTAACCAATCGATGACATTTAGGTAACTACTAAATCTTTATCTTTCAGACAAATCAATTCAGTTTGACACAATAAAAACTTGTCTCATAACAGAGATTTTACAAACCAAAAAAAATAATAAAAATTAGCAAGCTAGTCGGTTTGCTCCATGGTGACAGTGGCCTGTCTCCAGGACTACCCAGTGTTTGGGCCTCCAGTATGGACGGTGCCAGCATTGCGTTGTTGCCGTAGCGTGGACGGCGATGGAGCAATTTGTCCAGGGGGTGAATGGGGAGTGGGATCTCTAACCTCTGAGCCAAAGCTGAGGAGCAAATGAGGCCAGAAGAGGGATATATCTGGAATCACAAAACTTTGTTCATTCAAGCAAAGCGATTGTGGTTATTTTGTGTTGCAGAAGTCAAAAGAGAATAAGCCTAAATGAACATATGCTGATAGCAAAACTGCCTATAAGCAAATGTTTATTTTGAGTGTGTGTTTTTCAGGGAATCTCATTTGTGTCACAATAGCACTCCAGAACTTTCTGAATGAAGCTTCCGTCCGGATGAGTACTGGAAAAAAGCCACGATAATCCATGGCAACCAACACTCCTCTTGGCCATCTTATGAACTTCATGACCTCACAGAGTAAATAGAGACCTTTCTGGAGCGATATCTGATTTGACTGCCTTCAATTACAATCATTTTGGGTGGGAAAACAGAAACATTCTCATGTTTGTGAAGAATAAGTCTTCAGCCAGCCTGAAAATCTTGTTCAATATGCTCCATTTTCTGTCAGTATAGAGTCACTCAAAGCAACTGATATCATGATGTTGATGTTATATCAACTAAATGTACAAAACTTGCCAATACCATGACCCAAATATCTTTAATATTCTGGTCAGCATAACAGTAATATGGATCATTGACAAACCAGAGTGTCCAAATTAAAGAAATTGAGAAATCTTGTATCCAGTTTAAAATGAATGTGCCAAGCACTATTTTCAACCATTTGTTTTAAATAACTTAAACTTAACTTAAATGTATTAACTGTAATATTTTCATGTACTGTAACCAAATATCTAATAAATACCAATGAAATAATAAATTATATTTGATCAATTTAATGGTTTAGGCATATACACATAAATTCATTTTGGATATGTAAGTGTGGTGTGCACAAATATATATATATATATATATATTAGGGCTGGACAAGTTAACGTGTTTTTATCGCGCTAATGCATTAATTAGGCTAATTAATGCCGACAATTATATTATCGCGCATCAACGCTATTTTTTGAAAGTCTCACTGACTCTGAATACACATACAGGCAAACCATGGGTCACAGGAGGGGTGGGATGTTGATCAGTACTGGCTTGGGATGGGTGTCATCGTGTGTCTAAACCAATGAGAGCATTTGGAGTGGGCCTAAGACTGCAGCAGCACTCACATGAACGGCGCTCCCGATAAAATTATTTAGGCTAAGCATCAACAGTCACAAACCAACCACTGTTCACTGTTATTTTTAACAGAAAAGAATGCAACGTGCTCGTAATCATGACTTCATAAGTGGGAAATAAGAAGTTTCCGATAGCACGTGAAGGCAGCAGAGAAGCGCTCTCACTCAGCACAGTGGAGTGCATCGTTTTGTGGTTTATTATTTTGAGTCGTTTGGGACGCGGTAACACACGGCCCTCTCACAATATATTGCTTTACAGGTCTATCACTTTTGCCACTCAGAATTGTTCACGGAATCATGCTGCACGTATCAGAAGTTCCACGCTCCGGCGCGGTTAGCGCTCACACTACATGCATACCGCACCCGAGCCCAACTGAACCGCGTCCTGGCCCACCTCCTCCAACCGAGCCAGAGACGGCTAAACGAACCGCGCCCGAGTGCGGCACGGAGTGATTACACTTGTCAAACGAACCGGGCTTTGGAGGTCAAACACGCTCGGGCACGGTTAAGATTACCTAGTGTGAGTACACCCTTATTCTTCCGCATCCCACCCGCACTCGCCCATCAAGTGTTGTCCCGTGCCGCACTCTGTTGTGTTGGGACCCGCGATAGTGCTGGTCGGAAGGTGCCTGTTATAATGTTATGATCGAGGCTCTGGACTCTGACTCTTGTTATTTTTCTATAACAAACTATAAAATATTTTCTATAAAAACGTTTATATATATATATACACACACACACACATATAATGAATTGCTGATTTACAACCTGAAACTGCTTTGTCAAATAATTTAATATTATGTGCATTTTTAATGTATTAAAATAAAATGAGTGCCATGTCATTGACCCATATTAATCCTTGCATTAACATGCAAATTTGAGTTCATGCCTTCTTCTGACAAGCCAAGCTTACCTCTCTACCACATCTTCTCCACTCCAGCAGGTGTTTTCATCCATCATCACCTCCCCCTCGCACAGCATCTCCGGCAGGGTGGAGAAGAATGATTTGTACCGCTGGATGTAGCCCATAAACTCCCTGCAGGAAGTTCAGGCTTTCAGGAAGTTATCAAAAACCATCAAATCAGGCATAATTATACAGTAGCCTACAACCAGTTTTGCCCCATTCATCACGCTAATCAAACATGCCCAAACACTGATAGACACAAGCGGCAGATTGGCCTCCCGTACTTGTTTGTGACTGTTATTAATGCTGACAGTGTTCTTCCTTGCTCGCACACGTTTATTTGATGTGGGATTAAATCATTAGAACATTCTTAGGCTGACAGCCAAAATCATTTTATGGCAAAATAATTAGAGATAATTTTTCTTTGAAAAAACTTGGAAACCTGGAAGCTGAATTGCTACTGCTTACTTTGAAATCTTTTTCAGGCTTCTGGGTTTGTCGTTTTTGGACGGTTTCAGAGGCAGAGACCTGGGGTCATCGACAAGTGCAGATTTGAGAGAAAAGAAAACGGAAGAAAGAAAGACAAACAGCAGGGAAGTTACTATTTACAATCTGAAACATCTGATTGGTAAGGATTTTAATTTCTTAAAGGGTCAATATATGTTCAACAATTATATGCAGTGGATGTCATTTTCTCACCTTCTTTTTAGTGTTATGTGCTCATGTTGGTTGCCTGTATTAGGTAGTGTTGTAGGACTGGAGGATGTGACTGAGGTTTGGAGTTCAATGGTTGGGTTTACTGAAGGAGTCAAACTTCTTGAGGTGGGACTGACTGGAGTGGAGGAAACCGGTTCGGTCAAGGAACCACAAACTTTACCCACCTGAAAGAGATATGAAGAATTATTATGTGTTTGAAAAAAACCGGCGAATGGCACAATTTAGGCCTCTGTGAACTGACTCACACCAATTCGAAGAGATTACTCCATCTAGTGGCCACTAATAAATGGCACAATATCACCCGATTAATATTTACAATATTACTGATTTCTAATTGGAACAAACTTGCACAATAACTTCAAACTTTCACTGTATTGGATACTGAATTATTATACGTGAACATTTTTGTATACATAAAATGTGTATTTCTTTTTATTCAGCCTCTCATCATCGCTAAATAAAAAAAAAAAAGTCAAAATAAGCTGGACAATCAATAGCCCGTTTTGCCATAGTTGACATATATTAGCTATATCCTAGAAATTAGAAAACGGAATGAGGACTTAAAAAGTTATAAATGTGAGCACCTGTAAACTTGTTTGTATTTGTATATCGTCTACAAAGCTTTATTTATCTAAAGATTAGCCGAGCTCTCTTATTCCCCTGCTCTGGCCCCTCGCTAGCTGCATTGCATTTTGGGAAGGGGCCGGCCGGTTCACGGGAGCCGTCTTTGTCCAGAGGTGAATTTGCATGCAGGACATCAGGCTGATTGTGACCAGACAACACCCAAACAACTCAAGCAGCACCAAGATAGCGCCAGACCACATGCAGCGTGACGGACTGGAGAGGCCACATAGTCCTCCATGTCAATGCCAGTGCTGGGCGGCACATATAGACATCTTATAAACAATGAAGATAACACAAGTTATTCTTCAGAATCTCATTGTTTTTACAATTAGCAACAGCATTATAACGAACCTGATTTCATTTGTAGTGTACATCTAAGTCCCCAAATGCTAATATGTTAGCGCAAATGCTTCTCGCTATGCAAGCTTGTGTTCTGAAATGTGACTGAATGCGATTTGTAACACAACACAGGTATGAATTATATCCTGACCACTGCATAAGTTAGCGCAAATGCTTCTCGCTATGCAAGCTTGTGTTCTGAAATGTGACTGAATGCAATTTGTAACACAACACAGGTATGAATTATATCCTGACCACTGCATAAGGAGCCTTATTGTGACATTAGCATAAACAATCATTTCTGTGGTTACAGTAAATAAAGCAATATGCAAAATAAAAAAAAATTAAAAAATTAAAAAGCAGTATTTTTGGTAATTCATCCATAACTTGGCAGAAGCTAACCAAATGAGCTAAATGCCAACATGGACAAGTATCATGACTTATTTTGGGCTCTTATCCTCAAAAACCACGAACAGATCTATGAAAGGCAGGTAAATAAAAACCACATCAAATAGGTGATGATACACATGGGTTGTGCAGCTTCTAACAGCATAAAACAAATCAAAATTAAATTTTTTGTAACTTTGCTTCTATGTTGGCCTGCCACTTGATGTCCAATGTAAGTACTGTGTCCCAAAGCGGAACCACTGGTGTAGTTTTTGTTTGGCCAAATCATAACTTCATTGATCAGTCTACAGGTCAATTCCATTAGGGTTGTAACAACTTTGTTAGCGCTCTGTCTCTTAAGCCTGGGCCCAGACCAGGTAACGCGAGCCCGAAGTCATTCCAGCCTGGCATCAGTGAGTGAGCAACATTTGATCCAGTGATGGAGTGTTTAAGGGGGGTCAAACTCCCACAAGCAGCCTCCATTGTAGAGCAGTAAGTTTGGGGTTGGAGTTTATGGGGGCTGCGGTTGGGGGCTTAAGTAATAATATCTCCCATTCTGACTGGCAAGTCTATGCTCTTTGAGAGAGATTTGTGGGAATGCGGTCTCAAACTTGACCTAGCCATATACAGCTGTCATCACCAGGACATGATGGGTGCAAAGCTGAGCTGTCACAAAACCCTTAACTCCTGTGGCCCCTTTAGCCATGATTCCAGTGAAAGAATCGAGTGAGAGAGACCGACAGACGGTCGTCCTATGTCGTGCACACAGACTCTGGCGTTGATGGTATGAATAGCCTCAGGGTGGGCGGCTGGGTATTCACTTACAGACAGCCATAGTCACACTGTCATGACCAACACATTTTTTTTACAGTACGTTTCATATTACCACATAATCACGCTCCTAATCATTGAGCTAATAATAAACCCCTTGCAGATATAATAATTGCAAGACTTCATAACACCATTGAGAATAAGACCAAGTATTTTTATGCTAAAAGCTAATTTATAAGAATTATCAATTTAAGATTTAAGTACATGCAAGAATAGCAGTTGAGTAAAACTGCAGCCTTGCAACTGCATAGCCTGATTGGGTGAGACATTTGATATGCACCAATCACTGAACATGCTGCTGCAAGTGCATGCATGCTAGACCTGATTAGTCCAGCATATGGTGCAGCTCATTTGTGGAATAAAAATAAACGTGTTCTATGAATCAGAGAAGCATGACTCACCATGGCGCTGAGATGTGGTCCATGGAGTTGCGCAGTAAGGATGGCATCATTAATTCTTTCCCGGATGCGTAGAAGTGCCAGTTCCACTTCGTATCCCCCTGACAGTGCCCCGCTCAGCCCCTCCAGCAATGCTACATAGCGTCTCCAGGGCCCATCCAGCTCAGCTAGACCTGCCAGGCAACCCCGCATCACATTGAGACACAGGCCTCCGCAAGGTCGGATCAGGGTCAATCCACGGCAGTGCGGACAGAACAGCATCCGCACCAGTGCACGTCCACATTGGCGCGCCATTCCCACCGATTCGGGGGCATTCAGAACCTCGGAACCCACCGCCAGTGCCCGACTGAGGGCACGACCGGCCACTAGTGCCCTAGACAGTCCCTGAGCAAGTTCTTGCGGGTGAGGGCCAAAGGGGTTGATGTCATGCCGAGTGGCACGTAGGCATTCGCTTCCTTCGGAGGACCAGGTAGAAACATTTGAACCCAAGCCCGGATTGACCAAGTGTTGGTATACCAATGGGAAAAGTTTGTCGTAGAAACTGTGGACTGAGTGTTCTACAGAGGTGTTGGCATCACCACGGAGGTAGAGGTCAAGGTCAGAGAAGAGGGTAGACACCAAGGGTTTAGCGTCTTGAGAGATCGCCCCGTAGGTGCTTTCGAAGAGCGAGTAGGTATGATTTAGAGTGAAGGAGAGCAGGGAATGGAAGGTATCTGCAGGAAGAGGAAGTAAAAGAGAAATTCTGGACTGAACAAGCACTTAAATTGACGTCCCTAAACAGCATAGCCAACCTTCATGCATAAACATTCATAACATGAGAGGACTCATTTTGTTTGACATTTATGAGAGGGTCAAACACACTAGTCCGTCACGGTACACCGCTGCCTTGTCTAGCATTGCTTACAACTCTTTCTTATGCATCTAATCTCTCTTTCCATTGGACTAATGGGAGCTGACAACACTTAATCCATGGATCTTTTGGGCTGGCGCTATTGGGCTGAAGGTTAGTTTGGAGATATGTGACACATGTGACTAGCTTATTACCAATTTTAGCAGTCAGGGTGACATCTTATACTTCACTATGCCTCCGGGTTGCAAATGGAAGTTGAGGAATCATAGTCAATTGTAACATATGCATTATTTACAATGGCATATTAACTTTTGTGTGACATGTGACAGACGGGTACTTAAGTCGACAGCTGGTAGAACCCTTCAAAGTGTAGTTTGCTTTAATGTCATCTCATTCATAACGACCAAAGCATTCCAGCTCCGTCTTGTTTCTCTGTGAATGACTAGCATGCAAAGAGCAAGCCGAAAGTTATGATTGCTCTTTATTGATGGAGGAACAAAAGAACACCTGTTTGGCTCACAGTACTAAAAGACACCCATAAGAATCTTTCTATAACAAGCCTTTGAGGTTTTGCAAGAAAACTGGCAGAGATTCTGAAATGTTGCGTCAGTGTTCTTGCTACTGGCATTCACATCTCTCGGTGGCTCTCCGGGCATCCTGTAATTCCAACAATACGTGAGTAACCTTTTCAGGTCAGGAACTATATCTTGATCCCTTTACTCATGCCCCATACATCAGAGTCGGGATGGGTGGTTTGTATGAATGATTAGGAAGAGTTTCAGGTGGCTGGTACTGGAAACATGTTTAAGCACTTAGCAGTAAATCTATATTTATAAAATGGTTCAAATCAAACACTTGTAGCACTAGATGCCTAAAAATTCAGACTAGGGAGTATCTTGGCAACTACATCCAAACACTTCAGTATCAGGTGACATGGCAGGGGATTATGCCCAGATAATGTAATTGGGTTCTTCTCATATGGTTCTGGGCCATGAAGGCATGTGGGGG